TCATGCATGCAAGGCAAGTGCTCTACCACTGAGCCACCTTCCCAGCCCTGGCACTTTCTTCTTTAGTCCTTATGACCATTATCAGCTTGGGCCACCTGGCCTGGCTGAGATAGGTCCTTACCACCTAGCAACTTGGCATGTACCCAAAGCACAAAAAGTTTCCTCCTCCCAAACATCCCTTTCAGTACTTTTCCATTGATCCACCATAAAAGCCTCCAATCTGTAACACTGATGGGGTTTAGCTTCTCCTGGTGACACCCCCACCCCCACCCCAACCTCCAACCCCACCCCGCAGAGTCTCTCTCCATGCCTTTTTCAGTCTGTTGTAGTCTGCTCAGATACAGGAAGGTAAACTGGTTGCCCATATTGGGCTTCGTGCCATCACTAGGAGGGTCAAGGTCCAGGAACAATGATTTCTCTCTGCTTAAGAGACTTGATTGGCTCACATTTAGAACACTAGTGACTAGGTGATTAACACTCTTCTCTGTAGAAATTGACTGTAGATACAACTAGTAAGAAAACTAAAATGTTTATCAGCAGCCTGTTTTCCTTCTCTTTAAGGAGTGTAATACAGTTCCATATCTAGAGCTAATGTTGGTCAGCTAACCACAACCCTCAGGCTGGCCAATTTTTGGTAAGCCTGTTTATATTTACATGTTGTCTCTAGTATCTGACTTCTTTACCCCACAACTGAGTGACAGAGACCAAATGGCCTACATGTCCTTTTTTTTCCCTGCATGTCTTTAAAATATTTATTCTCTTACCCTTTAAGAAAAGAGTTGCCGGGCTGGGAAGGTGGCTCAGTGGTAGAGTGCTTGCCTTGCATGCATGAGGCCCTGGGTTCGATTCTCAGCACCACATAACCAGAAAAAGCTGGAAGTGGTTCTGTGTCTTAAGTGGTAGAGCTAGCCTTGAGCAGAAGAGCTGAGAGACAATGCCCAGGCCAAGAGTTCAGGCCCCACGACTGACAAAAAAATAAAATAAATAAATATATATATATATATGCACACACAATATATATGTAATATATATAATATAAAGAGAGAGAAAAGAGTTGCCCATCCTTGATTTAGAGTACTCTCAAGTTGCCAGATAAGAGCTGGGAGGATAGCTTAGAGAGGGGAGAGGGAGAGAACACACAGGCACTTGCCTGAGTTGCCTGACAGTCATAGTTTCACATGACCTGTTTATTTTTATTTTGCATGATAATAAAATATCTTTAAAATAAGCAAAGAAGCCAGGCACCGGTGGCTCACGCCTGTAATCCTAGCTACTCAGGAGGCTGAGATCTGAGGATCAAAGTTCAAAGCCAGCCTGGGCAGGAAAGTCTGTAAAACTCTTATCTCCAATTAGTGGGCTGTGGCTCAAGTGATAGAGCGCTAGCCTTGAGCTGAAGAGCTGAGGGACAGCGCCCAGGCCCAGAGTTCAAGCCCCATGACCGACAAAAAACAAAACAAAACAAAACTGGGCTCTTGCTTATATTTCCAGGACTAAGGAGGCTGAAACTGACTCAGAGTACTCACACGTACTAGGCAAGTATGCTACCATGAGACACAACCCTAGCCCCAGGCTAGCACTCTATCATTTGAGTTATAGCACCACTCCCAGCTTTTACTGTGATTGATTTTGCTGGTTGTGGAGCCTGAACTCTGGGCCTGCGCACTGTCTCTCAGCTCTTCAGCACAAGGCTAGCACTCTACCACTTGAGCCACAGAGCCACTTCCAGCTTTTTCTGCTTAGGTGATGCTGAGGAATCGAACCCAGGGCCTCATGCATGCAAGGCAAGCACTCTACCACTGAGCCACCTTCCCAACCCCTTTTTCTGTGATTTAATTGGAGATTTCCACAGACTTCCATGCCCAGGTTGGCTTTGAACTGCTTCTCAAATTTCAGCCTCCTGAGTAGCTAGGACTATAGGTATGAGCCGTTGATGTCTAGCTTATATTTCTTTTTTGACAATGTCACCCCCCTCCCTCACTGTCTTCCCGTTTTTCCCTTCTGCCCCTACCCACAAGCTGTGGCTTGTGAACATAATGTCCAGTACCACTACTGCAGAGGATTTTAAGTGATCAAGTAGATAAGCTGTCAGGATCAGCAATTTGTTACATCAAATGGTTATTGTTCCAAAGCTGTTTACTGAATGTGCATGTCCCTTCTCAGGGATCTCACATTTTCTCACTGTTAAAAAGCAAAAACTAGCTGGGTATCTGCAGCTCCTGCTTATAATCCTGACTACTCAGGAAGCTGAGATCTGAGGATCATGGTTCAAAGCCAGCCCAGATAGGAAGGTCTAAGACTCTCCAAAAAGCTGGAAATGGCCATGTAGCTCAAAGTAGTAGAGCACTATCCTTGAGCAAAGAGAAACTTGGGATAGTGTCCAGCCAGGCCTTGAGTTCATCTCAGGACCGGCACACACAAAAAAGCAAAAACTATAATAAATGTTGTCATAGATCTAATCAGCCCCTGTTCAAAATTTAAGAATTGTGAAAGCTTCTATTCTATAAAATAGAATGAGAGCTCCTGAGTAATGGCAGTGTTTTTGTAGGATATAAGGGAACAGAACACTAACTAAAAGGTTGATTGGCTCACCTGAATTTACTCTTTGTAAGGGTTAAAGCACTATACCTATTACTACCCTAACTCAGTAGACTGAAATGTCCTGTTCCACTGGTAGATCTGAGATTCCATGGTTCAAAAACAGTATAGGCAGACAAATGCCAGAGACTAACCAGTGTAAATCTGTAAATGGAGATGTGGCTCAGGTGGTAGAGCACCATTCTTGAACAACAACAAAAAAAAAAGCCAAACAAGCTTCATACCCCTGAATTCAAGCCTCAGAACTAGTACAAAAAACAAAACTCAGATTTTGGATTTTACTGTGGACTCAAATGGATTTGTTTCGCTTCTTGAAAGCCAGTATTAGGGTGTGAAGAGAGTTGGTAAGAAAATCACTTTTGGTGGCTCAGGCCTATAATCCCATCTTCTTAAGGAGGCCAAGATCTGAGGATGGATCTGAGTATAGATGAAGCCAGCCCTGGGCAGACAATCTATCTCCAATTTACCAGTAAAAAAGCGGGACTAGAGGTGTGGCTTAAGTAGTAGAGTGCTCACCTTGAGCAAAAAAAAAAAAGCTAAGCAAGAGCATGAGACACTGAGTTCAAGCCTTGGCACCAGTACAAAATTAAAACACTTTGTTCAAGGGGCAACACCTTGGAAGATAGCAGAAAATTATGTCCCTGAAATAAAGACTATCCTAGGCAGCTCAGGATTCAAAGGCACTATGGAGAAAAATGTAGATCCAAGGGACAATGGTTAGGAAAGTAGTGTGCTGAGCGTGGTCTTGTTATCAGTCAGTGTTTTCTTCCTTGGGGAAGCAATCTACTTTTGTGTTAATTCCTGTAGTTCTTTAGATGAACATAGTATTTCCTTACAGATTAAATATCCCATTTTATTTTTTGGGCATGGATTTGGTTTTTGCTTGTCTTTTAACTACATATCACTGTTCTAATATATAAGGGAAAATAATTGAAAAACATTAAGATATTCCTAAATTATCTCCAAAGTTGAATCCTCTTGTAATGCCTTCCCACCCACCCCCCCCCTTTTCTTTTCTTTCTTTTTTTTTTTTCTTTTTTCCTGCTGGTCCTGGAGCCTGGGTGCTCTCCCTGAGCTTTTGTGCTCAAGGTTTGAGCCACAGTTCCATTTCTGGCTCTTTTGTAGTTTATCAGAGATCAGAGCCTCCCCAACTTTCCCACCTGGGCTAAGATCCTCAGATCTGTGTCCAGAGTAGCTAGGATTACAGGTGAGAACCACCCCACCATCGTCCAGCTAGTAATGCCTTTTGAGTCATCAGTGCCCTAATTTCCCCACACTCCTACTTTTAAGAGCAACATGCCTATAATCCTGGTAGAGTGCTAGCCTTGAGCTGAAGATCTGAGGGACAGCACCCAGACCCAGAGTTCAAGACCCACGACTGACCAAAAAAAGAAAAAGAGCAAGCAAACCCTTACTCATATTTGATGTTATCTGAGCACCAGAAGGGTCTAAAAAAAAAGGTTACTGATTAAGTGGGTCTGAGGATCAGTGTTAGTGTTTTAGCCTTCAAGTGATTTTCTTTTGAATTAACATTCGGAACCCGTGGCTCAAGGCGGCAATCTCAGCTAGTCTACAGGCCGAAATCTGATTATCAAGTTTTGAAGCCACTCAGAGCAGGAAAAGCCCTTGAGACTATCTCCAACCATTGCTAGCATTGAGCATAGAAGAAGCCCAGGGACAAGGGCCAGGCCCAGAGTTCAAGCCCCGGGCTTGGCACACTTGGGCAAAGGGGGAAAACAACTTTACCAGGAGCAAGTTGTAAAGCACAGCCAATATAGAATAGTTAGTGCTAACTGTTCAGCTTTTCTGGTCCGATCTGCTGGGGGTCCTGCCGGAAGCATGGCTTCCATGTCTCTTGAACAGGTTTTGACAGTTCCCGCCCTTTTGACCTCCGCGGTGGCTCGGGGGTAACGATCCCCTCTTCCACTGAGCGCCCGGGGGAGCCGTCGAGGTACGGGGCACCGGAATCGTTTCAAGGTCACACAGAGCCTCAGTCAAAGCCCAGCCCAGCGATCCCGGTTCCCCAGCCTGCCTCCTGATTCCGTCTACGGTGAGCGCGGGCAAAACCCGAGCTCACGACTGGTGTCGGGTCGTCTGGGCCGCCATCAGCCCGGACCAACATCAGCTTCCTTCCCCCTCGGCGCCGGGGCCCGCGGATCCGTGCGCAGGCCGGCCGCTCCCCGCTCGTAGCTGCGTGCGCGCGCGCGCACAGTGGGCCGAGCGCAGGCTGGCTCCGGCCCGCCCTCAGCGGCCCGCGCCCACAGGGCCGAGCGCAGCTCGGCTCGCTCCGCGCAGCCCCGCCCCGACCTCGGCGGCCTGCGCGCGCGCACAGCGGGCCGGGAGCAGGGCGGCTCCGCCCCGCTCCGCCCCGCCGCGGGACGTACTTTGACGTCATCAATGTTTTCCGGGTGGGTCCAGGCGCCGCGGCTGTCAGCTCCATTTTGCGCCCAGTGATCGTCGCGGGTATCCGTGCGCTTTGCGAGGCCGCGTCGCCAGCTTTGTCCCCTCGGCTTGGAGCCCTTGCCTGGACGGTAAGACGCGGGAGCAGCAGCCTCCGCCTCCCGGCCTGCGAGGCCGGCCTTGCCTCTCCTCGCCGCACGTTGCTTTCCCCGTCCGCGCTCGCCGCGGCCTCTCCCGCACCTAGATCCGCCCCGAGGTGGCGTGCGACCGGCCCTGCCCGGCTGCGCCCGCTGCCGCCGCCCGCGCGTCCGGCGGTGCTGCTCGCCGCGCCGGGCGCCACGTTCGAGGTCGGGCCTCAGGGCCAGCAGCCCGCCGGCGCCATGTTGTCGGCGGCGGCCGAGCTCTGCAAGATGGCGGCGGGGCGGAGGCCGCGCTCCGCCCTGTCGGGAAGAGACGCGGCCGCCGGCCGAGGGTGGTGTTTGCTCGGCTTCTAGAACGTTCTTGGTCTTGTCCGGAGAAAAGCTCCGTCCCTGATCGGGTCCTTTTTAAAAGAGTCTAGTGAGCGTCTCTTAACTAGATTTAGGAACCCGAGGACGGAACGACCTAGTACTCACTTGGTTTTATCTTTAGTTGTTGATTGGTCTCCCCGCGTTGCCCGTGGCTTTTTCCCTCGTCCTCCGACCCAGCCGCCGGAGCAGCTCGGACGACGGGCCGCGGCTCGCCGCCCTCAGCCGGCTCTGAGTGCTTGAAAGGAGCGTGCGGGAGAAATAAAGCCCGTGCCGTGGGGACCACACTGAAGAGCGGCTGATGAAAAGCCACCTCGATTTATTAATGCTAATGGGTAAAAAAGGGGGGGCAGGGAAGGTGGCTCAGTGGTAGAGCGCTTGCCTTGCATGCCTGAGGCCCTGGGTTCGATTCCTCAGCACCACATAAGCAGAAAGAAAAAAGCCGGAAGTGGTGCTGTGGCTCAAGTGTAGAGTGCTAGCCTTGAGCTGAAGAGCTGAGGGACAGCACCCAGGCCCAGAGTTCAGGCCCCACGACTGGACCAAAACCAAAACAAAAAAAGGGGGGGGGGGCATAATCCCCGTGTGCTCACTAGTGAGCACACATTAACGACAGGTCTTAACAGTCGACTTTCCCCAGTAAAACTAGCCTCCAGCTCAAATGTCGAATTTTTTTAAATCGTTTTATCATTGATTTTATTTTTATCACCTTTTAATCATTGATTTCAGATGACACGAAAACAACTTTTGAGCCTTGATTTAGAAGAATAATTTTAAGAGTGTCGGATACAATTTAACCGGAAAATCTTGTGTGTGTGTGTGTGTGTGTGTGTGTGTGTTAATATTTTGTAGATGAGACATTCAAGGAGAACTTACTGTCCTAACTGGGACGAGAGAGATTGGGATTGTGGAAAATGGAGAAGCAGCAGCAGTTACAAAAGAAAGAAGAGATCACCTAGCAGTGCTCGGGAGAGCAAGCGCTGCAAATACAATCACTCTAAAACATCTGATAGGTAAGAAGAGTACTTAATCACAGTACAAAATAGTTGTTTTCCGGTGGCTGTGTGGCTCAGGTGGAAGAGTGTCAGCCTAGCAAGCATGATGCCCCGAGTTTCAAATCCTAGTACTGCCCCTCTCCTGTCCCCTGCCTACCCCTCCCCCCCCCCCAAAAAAAATTGACCTGTGGATATAGAGCAGGTTGGCATGTCTGCCAACAGGCAAGAAACCCTAGGTTCTGGCCCCAGCTCTGGAGGGGAATAATAAACGCTAGTAACAGTTACAATAAGCAACTGTGACTACCATTCATTTGTTTCCAGTGAGAGATTTTGATAAAATATTTGAGAACTTGTGTGCTTGGGGGTGGTAAAAAAAAATCCTAAAGAATGCATATATTTTTTAGGGGGTTACTGAAGATCTAGAGGTGTGGCTCAGTGGTGAATAACCTGCCTGGCAAACCTCCTACCCCCCAAAATTACTGAAAAGTTGGTGATGTTTGGCATTTGATATTTTATATTTTTCCTTTTTCTTTTTTTGTTTTTTGTCAGTCGTGGGGCCTGAACTCTGGGCCTGGGTGCTGTCCCTACCACTGAGCCACCTTCCCAGCCCCGATATTTTATATTTTCATAAAACATAGAAAATTAATTTTTTTTCTAGCTATTATCTGGATAGCAGATCTATACATGAGAGAGATTATTATAGTCGACGCTACATTGATGAATATAGAAATGACTACAGTCAAGGATGTGAACCAGGACACCATCGAGACCATGAAAGCAGATATCAGAACCATAGTAGCAAATCCTCTGGTAGAAGTGGAAGAAGTAGTTATAAAAGTAAACACAGGATTCACCACAGTACTTCGTATCATCGTTCACATGGGGTATGCAAACTTAATGAAAATTTTTTTGAAAGTTTTATTTCCCATATAGAGGGGGAAATTTTAATTTCTTTGGGAAAATTCTGATTAAAATACAAGTCATCTCAACTTTAACTTGCAGGATTCTGTGTTTGTGCAATGGATAGGAAATTTGTGAAATTCAGTACACTTAGTTTCATTATATAGGTTTAATTTACTAATTGCCGTTCCATTGAAATAATGGGGGTAACAAATAATTGAAATGCTGAAAGGTTTTTAATGATCTAAAAGCCTGTTTGTGAAGCCTTATCACTGAAGTAAAACATTTTTGTATGACTGAGGATTAGTATGTGTCTGTTTAACAATTGTGTTCTCTAATCCTTCTTTCACTAAGCAAACTCAACAGATTTGAACTTAAGTCATGTATTAATTTGGAGATCAGATGATATTTAAAATGCTACAGTGTTATTGTGTACCAAATGTCTTTTCCTTCCAAAAATTAGGACTAGGATTTTATTTACTGTCTTAATATTTGCTTTCTTATATTAACTGGGAAATCTTAATTTGGCCACAGTCTACCTTATTGAGTAAATAATACATCCTACAATTCTGCAGCATTAAATTTGGGACACTAGAAACTTAAAATTATGGTTCAGTGAAGACTACAGCTAAGCATTTTTTTAAAAAACAATTGTATTTATGTTTTGTTGACTTAAACTTTGAGTATCTTATCTGAAAATCTGTTCCTTGCCATGTTTTTCTCCTGTTAACAAAAACTATGTGCCCTGTGAATTTCTGGGGACTGAATTTGAAATTGCTCCTGCCAACCGTTTGTGGCCTGGCGCGTATCTGAATGCCTGAATATCTCCCCGCTGAATGAATTTCGTATTCTGCCCTGAATTCACTCGGGTATATTGATTGGCTGGATGATCTTGGTGCCGCCCACTTGACGTTTCCAGAAGAGTCACCGAAGGAAAAGAACCAGGAGTGTAGAGGATGATGAGGAGGGTCACCTGATCTGTCAGAGTGGAGACGTACTAAGTGCAAGATGTATAGAATATTTTTCAACACTTATTAACTTTTCAGATAACATTATATATAGATTAAGATATCAGGGATTTGGAAATCTTTTCTTTCTCTGTTTTTTTGTTTTGTTTTTTCCCTTTCTTTTGGTGGGGGGAATTGTGTTTTTTTGCTTTCTTTAGAATTTTAATGTTTGTTATACAGACTTCCAGAATAGTAAGTCAGTTAATGAATTTAGTCTTAATGAAATTAGATCTAAAAATAGTAATGTTTTTTGATGGCGTTTACCAATAGAATAAATACCTAGTAATAAGGAAATGTGTAGCATCACCTAGAGTAATCTACATTTATAGCAGTTGTTATGATAAGTAAATTGTTTCCACTTCTTAGTATGACTGAGATTTAATTCTCTTTTAGATGAAATTGTTGACACTTTAGGTGAAGGAGCTTTTGGGAAAGTTGTGGAATGCATCGATCATAAAGCGTAAGTGTTAAATAGTTGCAATGAGGAGTACATTCAGCTTCTGGCTTGTTGTAAAAGTCAAAGGCTCTGGGATTAATCCCCAACATAAAAAGTTGGCAAGGGGGGTGGGTATGCCTTTGATTTTTATATATTTGGTTTTTTAAAAGTAGTTTCCTAAATTTTTACATCTCATCAATGGCTCGCATCTATAATCGTAGCTACTCAAAAGGCTGATATGAGGATCATGGTTTGAAGCCAATCTTGGCAGAAACCAGAACTGGAGTTGTTGCTCAAGTGCTACAGGACCCACCTGGAGCAGGAAAAGCTAAACTAAAACGCCAGGTCCTGAGTTCAAGTTCATCTACCCTCAAAAATGGCAAAATTTTAAAATTTGCATATTTGTTAAGAATTTGAACTTTTCATACATTGTTTAGTTGAAGGACCACTCACATTGATGATTTGGTGAAAGAAGACATTCATTTGTATTTTTGAGACAGGGTCTCTTTGGAAGCCATACAGCTTCCATACTTGGAGTCTGTTTTTAGCAACATTTTCTGTTTCATTTTTAACTTTTGTACAGTAAGAAGTTGACTTTAATTAGTAGAGTACACCAAAGGTAAACCATAACTTTTAGAAAACACAACAGATAAAAGTACAGTTAGAAGAAGACAGAAAAGTAGAGTTGGATATTACATTTGCCATTTTTATTTTCTCTAACAGGGGAGGTAAACATGTAGCAGTGAAAATAGTTAAAAATGTGGATAGATATTGTGAAGCTGCACGCTCAGAAATTCAAGTTCTAGAACACTTAAATACAACAGATCCCCACAGTACTTTGTAAGTATCCAGTTGTAATTTCTAAAGTAGCCTTGGTAGATAGGGATTGTGAGAGACTATATATACTCAGTTATTTTTCATGTGTTTATAGTCGCTGTGTCCAGATGTTGGAGTGGTTTGAACATCATGGTCATATTTGCATCGTGTTTGAACTCCTGGGACTTAGTACGTATGACTTCATTAAGGAAAATGGTTTTCTACCATTTCGACTGGATCATATCAGGAAGATGGCATATCAGATATGCAAATCTGTAAATTGTAAGTTTTTGACATACCTTCCAAAAACTTAAGTTTGAGATTATATCAGAATAATTCAGATCTTGAAAAAGAATAGCCAGGTGTGGGCCTGTAAAGACTAGTGGTATAACTCAGTAGTAGAGTAGGCCCTGGGTTCAGGCCTTAGCACTGCAAAATAAGATATGTATGCATGCATTCATGGTGGGAGGATTGGGAAGATGTTGGTCACATAATAGAAAAAAGTATGTATGATAATGTATAGTTAATTAATTTGATGTGCTATGCACATTTTTGGTGGTTAAAAAGAAAAGTCAGTCATCTGTGCCTGTAATCCTAGCTACTCAAAGATCTGAGGATGACAGTTGAAAGCCAGCCTGGACAGAAAAGTCAGTGAGACTCTTATCTCCTGTTAACCATCAAAAGTTGGAAGGGGACCTGTGGTTCAAGTGGTAGAGCTTGAGTTCAAGCTTCAGGACCGCACAAAAATGTAAAAGGAGGAAGTTGGGTTCAGTGGTACACCAGTGGTTCTAGCTACTTGGGAGGCTGAGGCAGGTAGAATAATCACTTGAGCTCACCCTGAGCAATATAAAATTGCTTCAGAGGAAAAGGTGACACATGGGCATGATGTGCTTGTGGTGATACATGCCTGTCATCTCAGCACAAGATTACAAGGCCAAGCTAGGGTATAAATTCCAGAACACCTTGGATTACATAGTAATACAATGTTTGATGGGGGCTATAGGTGAGTATGGTTCAGCCCCAAAAGTCCCTGCCTCGTAAGCTCAAGACTTTTGTTTTTTTTTGTTGTTTTGTTTTTGTCGGTCGTGGGGCCTGAACTCTGCGTCTGGGCGCCATCCCTGAGCTCATCAGCTCAAGGTTAGCGCTCTACCACTTGAGACACAGTGCCACTTCCCGCTTTTTCTGCTTATGTGGTGCTGAGGAATTGAACCCAGGGCCTCATGCATGCAAGGCAAGCATTCTTAGCACTGAGCCACCTTCCCAGCCCTAAACAGAGTATTTTGTTTTGTTTTGTTTTTTTGTTTTTTTTGTTTTAGCTCAAGACTTTTAAGTTCAAACACTCAGACCACTGTATGAAAAGAAATGTAGATATGGAAAAAGATTTAATTGATTACAGTGTTCATCTGCAGTGTCTTTCAGTGGGCAGTCTATTCAACACACAAAAACATTAAGGAGGTCAACCCTCATCTTCAAAATTTTATCTCTGCTCTTTTCAGTGCACTTTGTACAATATAACAGACTGCTTTCAAACTTGTAGTCTTATTTTAGATAGCAACATTTTGTTTTACTTTGCAGTTTTGCACAGTAACAAGTTGACTCATACAGACTTAAAGCCTGAAAACATCTTATTTGTGCAGTCTGACTACACGGAGGCATATAATCCCAAGATGGTAAGTCTTCAGTGACACTACCTTCATGGTTTCAAGTGAATAGTTCTTTAATATTTGTCTTATAACCATTCTTTATGATTTTTCAGAAGCGTGATGAACGTACTCTAATTAATCCAGATATTAAAGTGGTTGACTTTGGAAGTGCAACGTATGATGATGAACATCACAGCACCTTAGTATCTACGAGGCATTATAGAGCACCTGAAGTCATTTTAGGTTAGTATTCATAAATGGTCTCCAGAATCTTCATTTCTTTATTATAAAATAGGTAAAATTTGCAGATTCAGGTTTTATTCTTTTTTTGTGTGTGCGTGTGGTGTTTGTTTAAATTTCCCTTTTTAAGCAAGACCTAAGGAGCTCTGGGACTTGAGGTTAATCTTTCTGAAATAGTTTGCACAGGGGCTGGGAAGGTGGCTCAGTGGTAGAGCACTTGCCTTGCATGCTCGAGGCCCTGGGTTCGATTCTTCAGCACCACATAAGAAAAAAGCTGGAAGTGGCGCTGTGGCTCAAGTGGTAGAGTGCTAGCCTTGAGCTGAAGAGCTGAGGGACAGCGCCCAGGCCCAGAGTTCAGGCCCCATGACCGGACCCCCCAAAAAAAACAGTTTGCACACTTTAATACAGTAATTCATTGCTTAACTAGGGAAGAGATGAGCTATTTAAGAGATTCATTGTTGGGTTACATGTTACAATGTACTTATATAAAATACAAACATGCAATAATCTGCCCCCCCCCCCCCAAGCATGGCTGTGTGTGTGTGTGTGTGTGTGTGTGAATAATGAGTATAGTAAACCAGTCAGCTTGTTATTGTCAACTTACATATCATACACATACGAATGTGCAATATGTATATGTCTTCACACCAGCATAGCCACAAAGGTTGGGGTGATGTATTGTGCAATAATGTTAGGACAGCCATAATTAGTTGATAGCAGTTTTCCACCTATTAAGATCTTAAAAGACAAAGGTTTTAAAAGTGATCTGTTAATAATCATGTAGCTGGGCACCCACCAGTAGCTTATTTTATAATCCTAGCAATTTAGGAGGCTGAGATCTGAGGATTCCTGTTTGATGCCAGCCCAGGCAGGAAATCCTGTAAGATTCCTATCTGTAGCTAACTACCATAAAGAAGCTGGAGCTGGAGCTGAGGCTCAAGTGGTAGAACGCAAGCCTTGAGCACAAGTTAGGGAGAGTACCCAGGCCCTGAGTTTAATCCACAGGACCAGCTCCATAACAAAATTGGCATGTGATATATGTGTGACAAGACTGTATATGTATATGCCTGTGGCAGGGTTTGAACTCAAGGCCTTGGGTTCTCACTAGGCATTTTCTCACTAGGCAGGTAACAAGCCATGTTTCCAATAATGGTTTTCCAGACGGTGGTTCACACTTTAATCCCAGCTATATATCCCAGATATTTGATATGCTTTTGTTTTTTTGGTTGGCCATGGGGCTTGAACTCTGGGCTTGGGCGCTGTCCCTCAGCTCTTCAGCTCAAGGCAAGTGTTCTACCGCTTGAGCCACAGCGCCACTTCTGGTTTTCTAGTGGCTTATTGGAGATAAGAGTCTCACAGACTTTCCTGCCCGGGCTGGCTTTGAACCAAGATCCTCAGATCGCAGCCTCCTGAATAGCTAGGATTACAGGCGTGAGCCACCGGCGCCCAGCTTAGATATGCATTTTTCACAGTACAGTTATCTCAGTATTTTTGCTTTAACATTTTTACTTTGTTTTGCAGCACTAGGGTGGTCCCAACCCTGTGATGTCTGGAGTATAGGATGCATTCTTATTGAGTACTATCTTGGATTTACAGTATTTCCAGTAAGTTTACAGAGCTGTTTTAATGGTTTTCAACAACAGAATTGCTTGTTATGAATACTTTAACTCAAGGTATAAGTTTAGTATAGCTTCTTATTTTTAACTCAGATTAAGATAAGTATAAAGAAATAAAAAGCATGTTATTTATCATTTGTCTTAATTATTTTATGTATATTACATGTAGAAATCTGTTTATATAGGAAAATGATTAATAAGCTTGAGCTAATTGCTTCTGGGGTTTTTTGTTGTTGGTTGTGGGCCTGGGTGCTGTCCCTGAGCTCTTTTGCTCAAGATTAGAGATCTACCACTATGAGACACAGCTCCACTTCCTTTTTTTTTTTTTTTTTTGCCATTCCTGGGGTTCAAACGGTCTGGGCATTGAGCTAGCTCCCTTTTAGCACTTTACCACTTGAGCCACAGCACCACTCCTGGCCTTTTCTGTTTATGTGGTACTGAGAAATCAAACCCAGAGCTTCATGCATGCAAGGCAAACACTCTACCACTAAGCTACATTCCCAGCCCCTCCACTTCCAGTTTTTGAGTGATTAATTAGAGATAAGATTCTCGCCAGGACGTTTCTGCCTGTGCTGGCTTCGAACCACAATCTCAGACCTCAGCCTCCTGAGTAGCTAGGAATACATGAGCCACCAGCACCCATCCTAATTGTTTTTTGTTGTTGTTGATGGTGGTGGTGGTGTTTTGCCAGTCCTGGGGCTTGAACTCAGGGCCTGGGTGCTGTCACTGAGCCTCTTTTGCTAAAGGCTAGCACTCTACTACTTGAGCCACAGCGCCACTCTGTCTGGCTTTTTCTCTTTATGTGGTACTGAGGAGTCGAACCCAGGACTGCTTGCATGTTAGGCAAGTACTCTACTACTGAGCCACATTCCTAGCCCCTAGTTCTTAATAATCACTGAGTTCTAATGGTTTTTTGCTCCACTTGGCACTGATGTTAAATGAGAATGAAGTACAGAGTATAAGTTAACAAGTTCTTTTTATTTTTTTCTGTAGACTCATGACAGTAAGGAGCACCTAGCAATGATGGAACGAATTCTTGGACCTCTACCAAAACATATGGTACAGAAAACAAGGTACATTTATTTAAAACTTAATGCTATGCTCAATTCTGTGGTAATGATTAGGATTTTAACATCTAGTTATGTTGGTACACACATTTGTAATCCTAGTGCTGGCAGAATTTCTAATTGAACACAGAGTGAGACATTAGTTCAAAAAACATGTTCTTAACAAAGACTATTATCTGAAAATCAACGTTGTCAAAGTTATCCACTTTCTGGGAAGGGATAACTTTTAATCTCTAGAAAAGCGTTAATATTTAATCTCTAAAAGCATAGCAACCAGTCATCTTTGCTAGATGCTAGAAATGCTTGAAATCAGTGTTTATGAGCATGTATGAATATTAACTTTTTAGGAAACGTAAATATTTCCACCATGATCGACTAGACTGGGATGAACACAGTTCTGCTGGAAGATATGTGTCAAGGCGCTGTAAACCTCTAAAGGTAAGCCTAGAATATCCCTTAAATAATTAAGACCTTGCTTGCTCTTGGGATTTTTGTGAGTACATTAGTTGCAGAGGGCAAGGTTTTTATTGTTAAATTTCTATCTGGATACAATGTATACGATCAGCTATATTCCCACTGTCATTCATCATTAATTTTTTTTTTTTTTTGTCAGGAGGCTAGAACTCTGGGCCTGAGCTCTGTCCCTAAGCTCTTCCTCTTAAGGCAAAGCACTCTACCACTTGAGTCACAGGGCCACTTGCGGTTTTTTGGTGGTTAATTGGAGATAAGACTTGTCTCAAGGCCCAGTGCCAGTGGCTGGCTCGTGCTTATAATCCTAGTTACTCAGGAGGCTGAGATCTGAGGATCTCGGTTTAAAGCCAGCCCGAGCAGGAAAGAAGTCTCAAGGACTTCCTGCCTGAGCTGGCTTTGAACAGCCATCCTCCAATCTCAGCCTCCTGAGTAGCTAGGATTACAGGTATGAGCCACTAGCACTCGGCTCATTATTCATTTTTACATATGCATAGAAAGTACTTCTCTTCCCTCATTGGGGATTGAACCCAAGACCTTGCAGTTTACTGATAACTTCATTTCCCCTGTTTTTATCGCTGAGAAAAGATAGAAAAAGTCTGTTAAATATGTTTGTTTTTTTTCCTTTCAGGAGTTTATGCTTTCTCAGGATACTGAACATGAGCTGCTTTTTGACCTTATTCAGAAAATGTTGGAGTATGATCCAGCCAAAAGAATTACACTCAAAGAAGCTCTAAAGCATCCTTTCTTTTATCCACTAAAAAAACATTCATAAATGTGTAATTATATAGTTCTCTTGAAAAGATTTTATAGACTGCATCAGTCTGGTTTTTAAACTTAAGTTATTTTATACAGCTTTGTAAATTTCTTAACTTTTTTTATTGCTATGTGTATTTTGGATAATTCAGTATGTTATGTACATATGTAATTTTTCAGTAATTATGAAATGATTTGCTCAGAATAAATTGTGTTTATGAAATTTGTATGAATCTGTTGATTTTTGTAACCATTTTTTTTCTTAGCCTCTCATGAAAGAATAAACATAATTCTTTGTAAAAACTGGGAGTTAGATAATTACTTTGGAATATTTGATGTTAATGAAAACATAATGCTCCTAGAATCCAGCTTTTTGAGTGTTCACTTAAGTGTGTAGAAAAGCAGACACTTCGTTCTTTTTTTCTTTTTTTGCCAGTCTTGAGGCTTGGAGAGGCTTGTCCCTCTCTGTGCTCAAAGCTAGCTAGCGCTCTACCACTTGAGCCAGAGTGCCACTTCTGTTTATGTGGTATTGAGGAACTGAACCCAGGGTTTCATGCATGCTAGGCAAGTACTCTACCACCAAGCCACATTTATTATTACAAAGGTGATGTAAGAGGGCTTAGAGTAAGTCAGGTAAAGAAAGAGGGCTGGGAAGGTGGCTCAGTGGTGAAGTGCCTTGCATGCATGAGGCCCTGGGTTCGATTCCTCAGCACCCACATAAGCAGAAAAAGCCGGAAGTGCTGCTGTGGCTCAAGTAGTAGAGCGCTGCCTTGAGCTGAAGAGCTAGGGACAGCGCCCAGACCCAGAGTTCAGACCCCATGACCAACCAAAAAAAAAAAAAGATTGCAACCTTGAGGGAGACTTGGCCTCAGGAATGATACTCCCGAGCAAGTAGTCAACAGCCCATTTGTTAAAGTCACTTGGCTGAGTGGAGTATAAAGGAGGATACACCCTTATAGGGAGTGCCCTATATGGATCGGTGACAAAAGGAGTGGGGAATGTGGCCAACAATGCAGCAGTGTGCTATAACTCATTTTGTCCAGGCACTTGTGGCTCATGCCTTGTGATCCAGCTAACTCAAGAAGCTGAGATCTGAGGATGAAGTTTTTTTTTTTTTTTGCCGGTCATGAGGCCTGAACTCTGGGCCTGGGCGCTGTCCCTCAGCTCTTCAGCTCAAGGCTAGCGCTCTACCACTGGAGCCACAGCACCACTTCCGGCTCTTTCTGTTTATGTGGTGCTGAGGAATCGAACCCAGGGCCTCATGCTTGCAAGGCATGCACTCTACGGCTGAGCTACCTTCCCAACCCCTGAGGATTAAGTTTCAAAGCACCCTGGGCAGGAAAGTCTGAGATTCATCTCTAGCCACCAAAAATCAAGAAGTAAAAGTTCATGGGGAAGCATTAGCCTTGGGTGAAAAGCTAGTGGAAAGCACCCATGTTCCTGAGTTAAGCCCTAGGACTGGCACACAAAAACTAAATGGCTTTGATGTCAGTTTTTCTAAATGTGTGTGTTCGCAAGTACAGTACATATATACATACACAAAAAGTTGCCTTTAGTAAAGTCTGCAACATATGCTATCCCATCCATTTCTCAGGACATAGGCAGCTACCTTCTCAGATCCAGTTAGTCCTCAAACCCACCAAATACAGTCCATCTTAATGTGGAATTCCATCCCAAGTGTTGATACATTACCATGAGGTCATTTCATATCCATTTAAAATTGCAACAACTCTCTTCATGTAGTTTCACTTTGTATCTATGTGACAACTGAATCAACTTAAAGCTAGTTTGAGAAGTTTTGGTTGTTTTGGCTCTACTGGCTTTGGGCCTCTTAAGTGTGGCAGTACGTTGTGCAGAGGTACATGGAACAAGCTGTTCTGCATAGCCAGTTGGAAGGGAGACCCTTTGTCCCTCCCATTAGGCCCTACCTCTTCTGCAAGTCTTTATAATGTACAGGACTTTATGGGAAGTGGGGACATTTTTGATCCAGTCTTTTTTAAACCAGTCCTGGGGATTGAACTCGGGGCCTGGGCACTGTCCCTGATCTCTTGTTCAAGCCTAACACTCTACCGCTTGAGCCAGAGTGCCACTTCCAGCCTTTTCTGTTTATGTGGTACTGTGGAATCCAATTCAGGGCTTCATACATGCTAGGCAAGCACTCTACCAATAAATCTACAGTCCCAGCCCTTGATTCAGTCTTAACATTATATTCATTTCTGAAAGGTGAACACCATCACAATCAGGTGTTTTAATATGTAGTATATCCCAATGGCCCATGACAGTTCAGTAAATACTGTTAATTCTGAGCAGTTGTTAAATGGACTAGGGGGTATGGTGTTGGCACATGGTGTGTGCAAGGCTTAGGTTTGAGTTGTACTAGGGATGGGAGAATCTAGGCAGGAATGTGTACAGGTAAAGGAATTGGTAATTGCTGGAGGCAGAAGCATCCCTAATTGAAGAAACAGTAAAGAGTCAAGCCTGGTTGGAACTGTTATTAGACAAGAATAAGAGGTCAGATCACTTAGGGCGTTCTAGGGTCAGTCTTGGGGTAAGTATAGACAAAGATTGGCCATGAAATAATAGCTGAAACTGGAAGGAACAATTAGGGCCCACCGTGGGTGGTCTTACGAACTTCTCATTGTTAGAACTTTTTTTGTGTGAAAATACCAGAGGGGGTTACAATTACATGAGCAAGGTAATGAGTATATTTCTTATTTTATTTTTGGGTCCAGTCATGGGGCCTGAACTCTGGGCCTGGGCGCTGTCCCTCAGCTCTTCAGCTCAAGGCTAGCTAGCGCTCTACCACTTGAGCCACAGTGCCACTTCCGGCTTTTTTCTTCTTGCTTATGTGGTGCTGAGGAATCGAACCCAAGGCCTCATGCATGCAAGGTAAGTGCTCTACCACTGAGCCACCTTCCCAGCCCAATGAGTACATTTCTTATCAAGCATTGTTGTCTCCTCCTGTTTCCCCTTACCATCCTTTCTCATCTCCCCACACCCCCCCAGAAATTTTTTTGTGTGAGGTTTAAACTCAGAACCTGGGTGGTGCTGTTAGCATTTTTAGTTAAGGCTAGCACTCTCCACTTCTCGCTTTTTGGTGGCTAGAGATAAGTCTCAAGACTTTCTCAGGCTGGCTTTGAATTACAGGTTAGGATTACAGGCATAAGCTACAAATGTAGAACTTCAATGAAGGCTTTCACATAGTTCTAAACAACTATACTTTGTGTTCATATGGGCAAGGGAGTTGTTCAAGTGGTAGAGAACCTACCTAACAACAGGTTTCCAAATTCACTCTGTACTGCTGCCACAGGGGAAAAAAAGGCTGGGAAGGTGGCTCAGTGGTAGAGCGCTTGCCTTGCATGCCTGAGGCCCTGGGTTCCATTCCTCAGCACCACATAAGCAAGAAGAAAAAAGCCGGAAGTGGCGCTGTGGCTCAAGTGGTAGAGCACTAGCCTTGAGCTGAAGAGCTGAGGGACAGTGCCCAGGCCCAAGTTCAGGCCCCACGACCAGACTCGAAAACAAAAACAAAAAAACCTGTGAGGAATGTTAACTCGCTAGAATTTAAGATCTTAAAAAAGTCAATTATGTGATTATTTTGAAGTACTTACTCCTTACAGACTCTTCATAAATTAAGCCCACAGTAGAGGTGTGTGGTTCAAGTGAAAAGTGCTAGCCTTGAGTGAAGGAACCCAAGATCATAAATTCAAGCTCTTGCATGCATATGTGCACACACATAGAAAATCTTTTCACCAGTATTATTATAAAGCTTTAAGCCTCAGCAGGCTATGAGTAAAAATATTTCATGCTGATACTGGAGTATTAAAAAGATCCTATCAAGGCAATTTAACACACATCCCTACACAAATGTATTAACCTACTTTACATCTATCAACAGCATCTGAGGAAAACAACAGTAATATAGAAATATACTCTAAACTTTGGCATCTATAGTTCATGTACAACTGATAGTTTTAGTTCTCACAAGCACTTTGAGAAGACTGATGTCCATTAGCAAAATTTCACTACTACTTACCACCTCTATACCAGAAACTTTCTGGAAGACTTTCAGTGTTTTTTATAGTTTAGGGGAAACCCAAATAATTCTTCCTAATGACATATTTACAATCAACCTGGGAAGCGGTCCAAAGCCAATGAGGAAATGTCTTGCCTGCAGTGGGTTATAGTGCAAAGCCCGGGGTGGGAAAATCCAAATGTGCAGGAAACCAATTTTCTTGTGATCCTTACAGAAAAATATTGTCTCACACCACAGAACCAAACATGTGTAAGTCTCCTTCCCATTTTAACAGGATACAAATTAAGAGCACACATTCCCACTGGTAATTTCAGAGGCCAAAACACTTTCTTTGCATGTACAAAGCAGACAATACATACACAGCATATCTCTATTAAAATTTATTGGGGATTCTATTAGGGAAAATAAAAAGGCTTCTTGGAGTTCTGATAACGGAAAAAGCTGGAGAAACGCTGAGTTATAAACTAGCATTTTGGTCACATGCAGCCTCCCTCACCAACACATTATGCTATGTGATCTGTTCTGTGGCATTTCTGCTATATGCAACTTTTATTTTTTTAATAACAGAGTTAAGTATCTCTAGGATAATACTCCCAGAGTAAGATTAAGAAATTTATGTTCAGCTCTAAATACATCATAATATTCAAGAGACTCCATAGGAAAAAAAACCAATGAACATTTCCCCAATCATAACTAAAAGTACAGTTTTAACATCTACATTAAGAATTACATATTTGAAGCCAAAGGTTGGCACTGGCAGCAGAGTTCTAAAATTATCATGTAAAATTCAAAAGGAAAATCATTTTATAATGCATTCTTTCTTTACAATAGGTGATATATGCATTTTCTAAATACTGTAATAAGTAAATATTACTGTGTCATGAAGAAAAGAAACCATGATCAAAGATCATAATGTAGCTTTGGAAGACTACAAACTCTCACTATACACAGTATATAATAAAACAGGGCACACCTTGGACGGCAGCAACATGCAATGACTTCACTGTAGAAATATGTCAATGTAGTTGTGGCTACATCATAATTCTGTGTAGGTGCTTTACAGTTTTGAGTTACAGGAGGATCAAAGGAGTTGTTCTTTAATGATTATAAAGACATCTGAGCATTCAACATACAATATACCATTAGGTCTTAAAATGAAATTTATATTTAAAAAAAAGACTAATGTATAAAACCTAAGTGTAAGGATGGACTTTATTTAAAAAAAAAAATTCTTGAGGACTACAAATTACAAAGTAAAAGCAGAATACTACATAGAAATCTAGTAAATACATTTTGCCTGTGCATGAAAACTTTATCAAAGTTATTCACTTAACAAACTCACCCCAGTCACAATGTTATCAGTTATAGCGCTCTTAAGATTACCTTATCTTTATTTCAAATTATATTACACGTTATTCCCTCAAGATGAACTTTTTAAACACCCAACTAATGAATGGTACCTTCAAAGTGGCGATTTCCACTAAGTCTCCGGGTGGCATTATTCTAAGCTATTTTTTCTGCCAATTAAAAACCTTCAAAAAATTAATTTTACCATGCCTTTGCACACAAAAATTTGGCTAGATTTCCCCCATTATTGACTACATTTACAGATAGGTAACAAAAAGAGAGATGAAAATGGAAAGGCAGCCATTAAATGGATCCATCATTTAGAAGATATATTTGGCTTGTGGCAATTAAAAAAAAAAAAAAAAGGCAAAATGGAAGGGTACGTTAATAGCCAGGTGCTTGAGGCCTTACTGTGGTAATAGAATGAAGCCCGTCCAGTAAGACCAAGTGGGAATACATAGTTACATTACACTTCATTCTTTACAAGTATTCTAAACCAATAGGAAATACAAGTCACATTTAGATCCTCAATTAGAACATGCTCATCCTTAGCATTTAACCATTTTTACTGGCGTTTAATACAGCAGTCATTTCCTTAACAATTCTTTATAGGTCCTTTCATATCAATTTAAGTATATTCTGAGCATAAAATATTTTAATTGATAAAGACTTTCTAAGGTATCCTTGGAAATGCTTATATGAAAAGAATAGCCATTTTCTTTGCCTGAAAGATTCAAACAGTGCAGAAGTTTCTTAGTGGGAAAAAGCTCGACTCTTCTTCCCCCCACTTCTGCCACATATGATTTCTCAAACTTCTAAAGTTTGTTCTCTATACCTTCATTGAGGATAAAAACCAGCAAACAACCTAAGGACACCTGGGGTTTAAAAGACAAGAATATGGTAACACACAGCAATGGTCCCAATATTCAGGTTCATATTTAATGGGTTCACTTATCATCTAAGATTTTCATTGATGAACAGGGCTCTGGACATACCAAATTATCACACAAATCATTGCCTTTCGAGACTTTGGATACTTTTACAGTTTAATTTGCAAAACAGAATTTTTCTAACAAATTATTTTTAACCAAATCATATCTTGAAAACTGTTATATAGAAAAACCCAAGGAATAAAGTGAAGTGTTCATTGTGGAAGGCCTTAAATTACATTATTACAGTAAAAAATACAGGAGGTAGAAGATAACTGAAAAAAAAAAAAAACCCTAAAGCAACATTAGATTCAAATCTACAGCTCCTGTAGCTACTTAAAACATGGTTTTAGAAACTAAATCCAACATTTCCAGTAACCATAGAAACAGTTAAAATAAATTTGCCATGAAAGCCCTTATATCATGCTTGATATAGGGAGGTAGGAAGATGTAAGAACCAGGACACATGAGACGTGACATTTATCTACAACTCCTGTTTGCTTTACTGAGGATGGAGTTTCAAAATTCAGTCACCTTCTTCAGCTTCGGACTCAGATTCTAGAAAAGGGGAAAAATGTAATCAAGCATTGTCTCTCTGAACATAAAAGTTGCCCACATTAGTTTATATGTCAAAAAAAAATCTCAGCCAGATAGTTTGAAGCCAGCCCAGGACCCCATGAGACTTAACTCCAGTTTACCAACAAAACACCCAAAGTCAAAGTGTGGCTTCAGTGGTAGAACAGCCTTGAGTGAAAAAGCTAAGGGACAGCACTCAGACCGTAAGCTCATACATCAGTAATGTGCACGTACAAAAAAAAATCTCTAGTATGTGTACAAAGTGGTTAGCAAACCCCCCAAATACAGCTTGTATTGACATACACCACAGCCACATTAAAATGTTTCTAGTCATTGCACAAACGAAAACACTTACCTTCTTCAGCATTTTTGAGCCATTCTACGAACTTTTTCATTTGCTCGAGGAAGACACTTTTCCCCTTGGCAACATGGGCATCTTTATACCACTTCAGAATGGGCTCTTCACTCAGTACTTCAGCTATAAAGAATAAATCATGACACCTGAGTTTTAACCTGCTTCTTCACCTCAAGAAAATTTCAACTTCTATGGCATAAAGTCCTGCTCTGCTTGGCAAATACCATCCTCCTGGAAAACTAAGTGAAAACCATTTTTATTTTTCTTTCTTTCTTTTTTTTTTTTTGTCGGTTGTGGGGCTTGAACTCTGGGCCTGGGCACTGTCCCTCAGCTCTTCAACTCAAGGCGAGCGCTCTACCACTTAAGCTACAGCACCACTTCCGGTTTTCTAGTGGTTAATTGGAGATAGGAGTCTCACAATCTTTCCTTCCCAGGCTGGCTTTGAACTGCAATCCCCAGATCTCAGCCTCCTGAGTAGCTAGGATTTCAGGCATGAGCCACCAGCGCCCAGCTCGATTTTTTTCAACAACTGATTTCAAGAAGAAAAACAGAACCCTTACAAAACTTACAAAAACAAAAAAAGTGCTGGGAAGGTGGCTCAGTGATACAGTGCTTGCTTTGCATGCATGAAGCCCTGGGTTTGATTCCTCAGCACCACATAAGCAGAGAATGCCAGAACTGGAACTGTGGCTCAAGTGGTAGAGTAGCCTTGAGCTGAAGAGCTAAGGGACAGTGCCCAAGCCCAGAGTTCAGGCCCCACAACTGACAACGACAGCGACAATAATAATAACAACAAGAACAACAACAGGGTCTTGCTATTGTAGCCCAGGCTAGCCTCAAACTTGAGATTTGACTTTTATCAATTAATTACCAATGCATGAACCTAAAACCAACCAGAGAGAAAATGTAATGAACAAATGAAGTTTTCAAATGAAGCTAATTGTCCTTGTCCCCATTCCTCCAGGGGATGGTTCACACATCTAGAGTGCTTGCCTAGCATGAACGAAGCCCTGGATTCCATTCCTCAGTACCACATAAACAGAAAAGGCTGGAAGTGGCACTATGGCTCAAGTGGTAGCGTGCTAACTTTGAGCAAAAACAAGCTCAGGGACAGTGCCCAGGCTCTGAGTTCAAGCCCCAGGACTGGCAAAAATACATAAATAAATAAAAATAAACAAGCAGGTATATTGGATAGATTGACAGCTAACTTTTTTTTTTTTTTTTTGGGTCCGGTCGTGGGGCCTGAACTCTGGGCCTGGGTGCTGTCCCCCAGCTCTTCAGCTCAAGGCTAGCGCTCTACCACTTGAGCCACAGCGCCACTTCTGGCTTTTTTCTTTTTGCTTATGTGGTGCTGAGGAATCGAACCCAGGGCCTCAGGCATGCAAGGCAAGTGCTCTACCACTGAGCCACCTTCCCAGCCCGACACCTAACTTTTTAAGTTGAAAGATAAAACTTTTTGGTTTTTTAAAAAATCTTATATGTTACAATAACCAATGTATGGACATTCTGAGTTAACAACCCCAACTTAAGAAAAAAGTTGTTGACAGTACTGGATTTCAACTCAGAGCCTTTAATTGCCACCGAGCCACACTTCAAACCCTTTTTTGTGCTCTGCCCAGGCATGTACCTTAGCTAAGTGACAAGCATGTACTATCATGCTTGGCTTCTGCTATTGAGATGGAGCCTCACTAATGTTTCTTCATGGACTAGCCTTGAACCACACTCCTCTTAATCTTAGCCTTCTTGCCAAGTAGCTCAGATTACAAGCACCTGGCTCTTTACCCAATTTTCCTTTAAACAAATAGGTGAGAATGATGGTAGATTCCTCATCAGTGCAGAATATAAAGTTGTCTTTCAAAACTAAAGGGTAGAATACATATATACAGCATCTATACACACTGGCATCAAGGCTGGCTTGACTAATGCACAATTTTTAAAAATGCTCTATTACCAACCAAAGTAAATGAAATGTAACATTCTTTTCCAACAGTGGCCTTGTCTAATAGTCCTTTTAGGCCTGGTTTCTGGAAATTTTATTTTGTAAATCAGAATATGGAGTAGTAATGAAACAGGATGCCTGTCGGCTAGCTGGCCTTGAAGCTCCAGTGAGAGAGCATATGCAGCGCTATGATGAAGTGAAGGGAGGGAGGTGCTCTGGTCTTGAGGACTAGAGGATCTGACATGGCAACAATGCAGGATCTGATGTTTGGGCTTTGGATTTTACTTTGTGAGTAGGACCAAGACATTAGATGGTAATACACTTAAAGATCAAACAAAAACCCATCCAATTTAATCTGATTTCCACCTTGTGACTAGACATAGCGCATTTTCAGGGACCCAATAGTCATCTGAACTAAAAAATTTGGGTTTTCAAGGATTTTTAATAAAGAATTCACAAAACTCAAGATTTAAATTACCTTTATAAAAAAGCACCACTATTTTCTGGAAGGCTTTCATGAAATGAATGTTGTCATAGCAATACTCCTGAATCTTCAGCAACAGAGTCAGCTCAGATTGACCTTGAGTAGTAAAGGCAGCAAGTAGAGGGCTGTATTGCTTTTAAATGGAAGAAAATATTTAGTCATCCTTACAATGACAGTCCATTACAAAATTCATATAATACAAAACCAAACTCACCTTTTAACAAAATGTTTTTTTGTTTGGAACTAGGGCTTCATGCTCTCACCTAGCTTTTCTGCTCAGGCTGGTGCTATACCACACTGCTACTTCTTTTTGCTGGTCAACTAAAGTAAGAGTGTCTTAACTTTTCTGTCGGGACTGGATTTAACCCTCAGTTCTCAGCATCCACAGTAGCTAAGATTACAGGTGTGAGCCAGTGCCCAGACTCACTTTTACAATCACTGTGAACTATAACCTATTTTTGAAAATCAAGAAGTCCAGGGCTAATGTCTGTAATCTCAGCTACTCAGGAGGCTGAGTTTGAAGCCAGCCCAAGCAAGAAAGTGTATGACACTTTTATCTCCAATTAACCAGCTGAAAGTGGTGCTGTGGCTCAAGTAGTAGAGTGCTAGCCTTGAGCAAAAAAAGCTGAGAAACAATGAGTTCAAGTCCCAGAACCAGTACAAAAAAAAATAAAAACAAAAAAAGTATGCTAGAAAAAAAAAATCAAAGCATCTAAATCAAGTAAAGCAACACTCTGTAAGTATTTCAGCTGTCAAACAATATCCTTTTTAACATTGTTTTTAAAAGAGCCCTCCTATTTTCCAATACTCTCTCAGAAACGAACATCATCAATTTACAGACTTAAACTACATTTAAACATGGTCTTGTTTTAAATCTGTAAACTAAATAAAGCTCATGTCAGCCTTAAGAGTGGATTGTCAGTAGCCAATGCTATCTAATAGCTGGTGAATCATCCTAAGAATGGAAGGATGAAGGCAAATCCTCCTAGGAAGAAGTACACTGATAGTTCACTTATGCCCACTTAAAGCACACAGTTCCAATACCTTCAAGTGCTTGATGGCTTGCTCTGCTACAAGCTCCTCTTTTTTGTTCCACTCCACGGTGCTCATCACACTTGACCAGACTATCCCAATAACAACTGGTTCTGGGATGTTGTTCTTTTTCATCTCCTCCTTGACATATAAAATTATCTGCAAAATCATCCACATTTAGTAGTATGTCAGTTTTGCTATGTTTATCTTCACACACTAAATTTACATTTCTTTTTTTTGTAGGTCTGGGGCTTGAACTCTGGGCCTAGGTGCACTCCCTGAGCTCTTGAGCTCAAGGCTAGCACTCTACCACTTTGAGCCACAGAGCCCACTTCCAGTTTTCTAGTGGTTAATTGGAGATAATGGACTTTCCTGCCCGGGCTAGCTTTGAACTACAATCAGATCTCAGCCACTTGAATAGCTAGGATTACATATATGTGACCCACTGGCATCCAGCAAATTTACCTTTCTTACAAAAACATGACAAATCTCCTTGAAACTGGCAACAACCACTTATGCACCACACTTAAATAAAAACTCTGCAACTGGAAGGGGGCTTAAGTCTCAACTTCATTTTCCATACAGACAAATAAGCTAGGAGGAGAATCAAGAAACAGGAATGTCCACTGCACTAAACCTTACCTATGAAATCTCCCGAAGTTATTTCTGGGCTTCAGTAAATCACTAAGCATGCCTAAAAAAATGGCTGCAAGTACAACATTGTACAATTCTTACTAATTCAGACTCATCCTGATGAAACATTACAATTTCTCAAATGCATGGAAATGTCTACTCCAGAAGTTTACCCATAAAAAGATGGCTTAAACGCAAATATCTTACATCCTTAAATGGATCACCACGGGACATCTGTTCCTGAAGTTCTTTCTGGAGCTCCTTACGAGCTCCTATGGTTTGCTGATTCCGAACGTACTCAGAAAGCTCTTTTAAGCCTGCCTCAGTAAAATACTTCGTGAAGTGTTCCACGCTCTGCTTATTGGCAGGAAAAAGTTCCTGAAAGGGGAATTTAGTGTTAAATACTTTTAAGTGACATTCAAGAAAAACAAAGTGCAAGGCCCAGAGTTCAAGCCCCAATACTAGCACAAACATGGGCATGTGCGTGTAACACACAATGAAAATGAGTAAAAAAAATTTCTCATTACACTTGCCTTACGAATTAGCAGGAATGAGAAAAAAAAGTTACCAACCATCAGTCTGTTATCCATGCTGACTTTTCGAAGACTGGCAGCTACTGCATTGATGTCTTTTTCATTTATCCATGATTTAAAGAGCTTTACAGCAAAAGCTGCTGAAACCCCTATGAAAGTGAGGGGGAAAGGGCAGTTGTAACACAAGTAGTTTCCTAAATTTGAATGACCATTTCCTGCTGCACTAACTCTCACAACTCAACCACTCAGGATCCTCAACTTTCTCTGGTACTGACTACCATAAAGTCCCAACTTTATCCTATCATTTGTTGGTGGCTTCTTCTTGGATGTTTCTTAAATGTGGGTGTGCCAGTCCTGGGGGCTCAAACTCAGGGACTGGGTACTATCACTGAGTCTTTGGCTAGCTCTTTACCACGTGAGCCCCTTCTTCACTTCTGGATATTTTGGTGCTTAACTGGAGAAAAGGGTCTCACTGGCTTTCCTGCCAGGGCTGGCTTCTGAAACGTTCAGATCTTAGTTTCCTGAGTAAACAGGACTATAGGTATGAGCCATCTTAACCTGCCTTTACTTAAGTAAGCCTGCCTTTACTCAAAATGTTTATTGTGTAAATTGAAGGTGACAAGTTGTACAGTAAATATGGCTATTTTGAAGATGAAAAAAAAAAACATTTTAAAGTAAGAGTAGGGGAAAAGTTCTCAAACTATTGTAATGATTTTGCCAGGTTTCCTACATTATCTTCTCCATTACTTCTCCTTTTGAGTTCCCACAGTATTTTTTCCAAATAATTCTTAATATTGAGAATAAGTGACTATATAAATTTCACAATACTGTGGTATAGTTATACTTAGCTAAAGTCACAATCACCTTTTAATCTTCACAAGGGTAGTCCATCATTACCCTAATCTACATATCTTTTTCTTACAAATTAGATAATATATATTCCCACCGTATTTTTCACTTTCATTATATTTAGTCACATTGTGTAAATGCTGGATATTTGTTGCACACTACAAGAAAGCCAAACTTGGATGCCAATGTTATTCAAAAAAATGTCTAAATTGGACTGCATACCAATAAACAGTAAGCCACACTCCCTAAGGTTTCTATAAGTTTGACTTTCACTCTTTTATTTCACTCTCAAAAATCAAAACAAAGACCACCCTTTACTCAAAGTCAATTACCTTCTTTAACCAAATTCTCATTATAAAGGCTATTAAGAATGGATGCATTAAGTGTCCCATTAGCCAGAAGGACACCAGTCAACATAGCCAGTTTGTTCCTCTCCGACTCTGAAAAACCCTTTAAGAACAGCAACAGCTGTAAAAAGTAAATAAAGAATTAGGAGAACAGTTGCATTGTATTAAGTCAGGCAGTAAAAGCATGGCATTAGTTAAATGGATGGGCTCCGGGACCTAACCATCCCTGTATATGTTCATTAACTGAACAATCTTGAACAAGTTATTCAGACTCAAAGCTTCAGTTTCTTAATACATAAAATGTGAACAATCCTAACAGGATTTTTATGAAAATCACATAAGTTAAATTGCAAGCAGAGTAGTTGATATTATGAAGATTTTAGTATTACCAGAATTTTTGTACATCTATGAAACATTGAGTAGACAGCCAAGTTACAAATAATTTAACAACTACACAGCAACATACTTAAGAATCTAAAATTTTATCAAAACTATGACAAAATTAGGATTTAGCCTTCCCCTTTCTGAGGGAGACTGACTCTGAAGCCTCTTGCAGGCAAACCACTACCACTGAGCTACACCTCAGTGCCAGTTCCTCCTACCTTTTTTACTTCATCTTCAAAACCTTTCTCCAGGTATTTGTAGCGCCTGATTAACTTGTTGAAAACCTATGGAGAACAACAGAACTGAAAAGGGAACTTTCCACTGGATATAATGTTTACATGCTTTAAGTCAAGTTGAGATGAGTTCAATTCCTCAACTCTACAAACATTATTAACACAAACCTCAAGTATCCAAGACAGCCTCCCACCCAGCACATTAAGATGCTATTAACTGCTTAAATTCTTCGCATATACTAATGAGAATATAATTACACCTGAACTCTTCAAAGGAAATCTTAATAAGCTATCTGTAACTTACTTTCCCTTGAAAACCAGTAATATGCAGACCTGGCTCCACTATGGAAGTCACAATATAGAAACTGATTTTTCTTCTAGGCTTAAAACCTTTTTCTTTCCTTCCTTAGACAGGGTCTTGTTCTGTAACAGCCTAGACTGGCCCTTAACTTGTGAATTTTCCTGGCTTAGCCTTCAGAGTGCTGGGATTGCAAGCATGCACCACCAGGCCCACTATGATACTCCTTAAAAACATGAATAATTCCAGAAAGACAAAAAGTAAAAAAGAGCTATTTTTCTACTTTATTCTCCTTTCTACACCTGAAGTCCCTAATTCATATTGCACTAAGAACAAACAGTATTTCTAAAACTTAATATCAATTTCCTTTAAATTCCTACCTGCAACCTTTTCAAAGAAGAACATCCCTTAAACACAAGTGAAATGGACAGTAGCTAACTAACTGAACATAATGAAGTTTCACTTACCTGAGCAAATGCTTGCATGGTCTCTAAGTCTTCTTGTGCTGCAAACACGCAGACATCGGTACGCATCATGTCATCTGCCAGTGTACCACCTGGGGCTAAGGTTTATTTCATTAAAAGGTGAAGAAAACCAAAACAAACAACAACAAAAAAAAGCTGATCATTTCAATTTCATTTTTTTAAAAATAAGGATTTTCAACATTTTAAAAGAAAATAGTAAAATTCAGGGTAAATTAAAAGTGTAAAGGCTTGCTGGTTCTGTATAAGGAATTTTTTTCAGAATCAATCAAACCCAAACCCATAAACTATACTGAACCATTTAATAGGGCCAAACTGATCAAGTAGAGATTCCCAGTTGGTTTTGATTGCATCCATCTGCCTAGGAACATGAGGCAGGCCGGGTCAAATTTTAGTATTGCTCCTCTCCAAAACACAAATACCCTTGAGCACCAACAAACCATTAAATCTTCTAAGAGATCTTAGTGTTCCATATCCAGCTTAAATTTTATAGGAATATATAGTTACTGAAGTTGGCTAAGAGAACAAATATTCAGCCAGATTCCAGTGGCTCACACTTGTAATCCCAGCTACTGAGATTTGAGGATCATGGTTCAAAGCCAGCCTGGGCAGGAAAAGTCCATGAGACTCTTATCTTCAATTAAACCACTAGAAAACAGGAAGTCCATGAGACTCCATCTCCAATAAACCACTCAGAAAAAGCCTGCAGTGGCACTGTGGCTCAAGTGGTACCGCACTAGCCTTGAGCAGAAAGAGGCTCAGGGACAGTGCTCAATCACTGAGTTCAAGGCCCAAGACTGGCCAAAAAAAAAAAAGTTCATTATGCCATTTGCTTTAGAATGTTTGAATATCCAGGAATGGTAGCACACAGCTGTAATCCCAGCTTCTCAGTAGTTGCAAACACAGTTAAGCAGAAGTTTAAAGCCAGTTTGGGTGATATTTAAGGAAACCTAATTTCAAAAATAAACCTGAGCTAAGAACTGGTGGCTAATACCTATAATCCAAGCTACTTAGAAGGCTATGAAAAGATCACACAATTGTGAGAAAAACTGTCTTTTCTGTCAGTGTGCAGCTTTGTCCTGGTGGTTAGGCTCTTGTTAAGAAAAAGAAGAACTGCTTTGGGATAAGAAAAGGGATCTGCAAAATGTGAGGTTATCTTAAACTAGTTTCTTTTCAAGATGGAATTACTACACATCCTAGACTGTTCAAGAAGCAGCAGAGGATACGGGTATATTTGAGATTACTTGTGAACTGTTAATATATTTCAAAACCATCTTACGAAAAAACATTTTACCTTATTCAAACTAGCTAGTTGAGAGCAGACTGTGAACCTGAGCTCAACCAATCTGAACTGAGGGGCAGAGCCTAGCAGACTGCCAACGTGTGCTTGCTTGTCAGATTTTTGGCTAATGGTGCACCCTACTGCACAGAAGTAAATTTTGCCTAGCTGACACAGTATTTTTGTGTCTTTCATTGTGACTACAGTGGTAATTGGGAAGTATATTTATAACAGTTTAAAGCCAGCTCAGGCAGACAAATCTGAAACTCTTATCTCCAATTACCCAGCAAAAAGTCAGACCTGGAATTAGGGCTCAAGTACCAGCTAAAAACAAAAACAGTTGAGCAAGCATCAGAGGTCCTAAGTTCAAGCTCCAGCATTAAAACAAAAACACTCCCCCACCAAAAAAAAAAACAGGGTAGATATGGTTCAATTGGTAGAGCGCCTACCTATCAAGTATGAGGCCAAGTTCAAATTCCATTATTATCACACAAACAAGGCAAAATACATATATAAATAAGACTTGGGGTATGTCTCAAGTGTTCTTGCCCAGCAAGTGTGAATTGAGTTTAACCCAAATACGGCAAAAATAAACCCACTGAGTGAAAGTAGAAAAATTATGTATGAGTGAAATGTATATAAGGTAGATATATACATATACATATATATATATATATATATATATATATACACACACACATGAAGTTTGTGTTAATAACTGTGAAGTTAAGCAAATGGTTAGAATGTCTGAAATCTTCCTTAACCAGGCACAGTGGAACAAGTCTGCAATCCCAGCTACTTAGTAGGTGGTGGTATGATAGTGAGCTTCAAGGCTAGCCTGGGCAGTCAGGGAGATCTTATCTCAAACAAAATAAAGGGCTGACTGGATATGGTAGAGTACTTCCCAGCAAATGAGGCCCTGAGCTAAAACCCCAGTATTGTCACAAACCAAGGATTAGAGGCATAGCTCAAAAGTAGAGTGCTTCCTTACCAAGAGCTGGTCACTGGGTTCAATCCCCTTTATCACTCTAACAAACCAGTTCCTGTCCCAGTAAAAAAAATTCCTTAGTAACTACTGGCTTGCTCTGTAATCTGAGCTATTTAGGAGACCAAGATCCAAAGGATCATAGTTTGAATGAAACCAGAAGTCAGAGGGACTCCATTTCCAAAAGTAACCAACAAAGAGCCAGACTGGAAGTGTGGCTCAAATAGTAGAGTGCCAGCCACCCTGAGTATAAACACTGGAATGAAAAAAAAACAGAACAGGGTTGGGAATGTGGCTTAGTGGTAGAGTGCTTGCCTTGCATGCATGAAGCCCTGGGTTTGATTCCTTAGTACCATATAAACAGAAAAAGCTGTAAGTGGGGTTGTGGCTCAAGTGGTAGAGTGCTAGCCTTGAGCAAAAGAAGCTCAGGGACAGTGTCTAGGTCAGGCCCTGAGTTCAAGCCCCAGAACTAGCAAAAAAAAAAAAAGAAAGAAAAAGAAAACAACAACAACAAAAATCATATTGCCGGATGCTAGTGGCTCTAATCCCAGCTACCGGGATCTGAAGATCATGGATGGAAGCTAGTCAGGGCAGCAAAGTCCTTGAGATTCTTCTCTCAGATTAACCACCAGAAAGCCAGAAGTAGAGGTTTGGCTCAAAGTGCTAAAGTGCTACTCTTGAGCAAAAAAAGCTCAGGGACAGCACCCAGGCACTGATTTCAAGTCCTATGACCAGAAAAACAAAACAAAAGCCCCTCAAAACAAAATCCTTGTTGATAGCAGTATTATGAAAAGAAAAGTCGTATTTATTTATTTATTTTTGCTGGTCGTGGGGCCTGAGCGCTGTCCCTCAGCTCTTCAGCTCAAGGCTACCACTCTACCACATGAGTCACAGCAAGCACCACTTCCAGCTTTTTCTGCTTATGTGGTGCTGAGGAATTGAACCCAGGGCCTTATGCATGCAAGGCAAGCACTCTACCACTGAGCACCTTCTCAGCCCCTACCATTAATTTTTAATATAAAGAAATGGCCCCCTGACTAGGCATAAGAATGTACGATTAAGTTTTTATGTTTCACCACTCAGTAAATTATTACATGTTATGCAAGCCTATAGCTCATGCAAGCCTATAGTTCTGATTCTCTCAAGCTAATTAGCTAATTACGCAGGGTAACACATTACTTCTCTGAAAATATTCTATGAAATAGTTTTTATTTTCAGTTCTTTTTTTCTATTAAAGTCTTTACAATTCAATATGCAGAAGTGCTGCTGTGGCTCAAAGTGGTAGAACACTAGCTTTGACCAAAAGAGCTCAGGGACAGGACCCAAGCCCTAAGTTCAAGCCCATGACTAACAACAAAATAAATAAATAATAAAAATGAACACAGGGCCTCAAGGATCTGTGAAATATCAATCAAGCAGTCTAACACAAATTGAAATACCAGGGAGAATTTTAAAAAATCTAAAATTTCCCAGATTTGTTGGAAGAAAAAAAAATTTTTTTATATTCAATATGTGATTGAATTAGACTGCCTCATTCCAAGAATATGATAGGTACTTGTGGCTAGAAGCTACTGCACAAAGGACCCCAGTGTTCAAGGCATATTAGAAGCATTTCACAGGGCAGAATAAGAGCTCAGAGGGCTGGGAATGCGGCATAGTGGTAGAGTCCTTGCCTAGCATGCATGAGGCCCTGGATTCGATTCCTTGGTACAACATAAACAAAAAATAAATTTAAAAAAAAAAAATCAGGATTTTTCCAGTAATTGAGTATAAACACAAGCTAAAAAAAAAAAATCCTTCACTCAGGATACTGAAGGAGTGAACTTAGGCATCAGAGAAAATTTATCCCCAAGGATTCTGTATAGTCTGCCAGCATGAGGCTTACTAGGCCAGAACAATTTGATAACTTAATGACAAGCCTACGAAACAAAACGAAATAGTTTAATCCTGAATTCTCCATAATTTTCACATATTACAGTTCCCTAAATACTAATTGCCACAAAACCCAGATACCTACCCAGCATTCCGCCGGCCACCAGAATGTCAAAGAGTGTTTCTGCATAGCGGCGGTAGTCAAGTTTTGCTCCAGAAGCATCAAGAAACTTAGCTACTGCTTCCAAATCAGTACCAGTTTCAGTTAAGCCTTGAATAATACAGTCTTGAAACTGAGTAGGGTCAAACCTCTCCTTTTCATCTGGGGGGAAAAAATCCAAAATATTTAGTTTTAAGAGGCTCACCAAAATGTCATGAATCATAATCTTAATGAAGTTACAATGCTTCAAGATTTAAGGGCAATTAAAAAAAAAAGTTACAGAACCCAAGACTTGTATCAAGGAAACAAGTAGAGACTAAATATACATCTTTGCAAGGTCCTCTGCAATACCAAAGCAGGATGGACTAATCCTAATACTATGTGGCTATTCTGCTACTTTTCCAGATAGATCTGTGCTAGTGGTTCCTGTTACCACTGCCAGAGATGATTTCTACCTAACATCTCGTTTCAAACTTAGGCTTCCTTTATACCTTAGGTAAATTTTATTCCTCTGAAAATTTGCCAAAATACAGAAACTTGGCTCTTTTCATTAAATGTTCCTACTATTAAAAAGAAAAATTAACCACTTGTTATTTACCTAGGTAATCTTTGTTTTTGTTATTTATTTTTGTGCCAATCCTGGGACTTGAACTCAGAGTTTGGGTACTATCTTTTACTTAGGGCTTCAGGTCTACTACTTGAGCCAAAGCTCCACTTCCAGCTTTTCTGGGTAGTTAACTGGGTATAAATCTCACAGACTTTCCTGATCCATGATCCTTAGATTTTAGCCTCCTTTGTAGCTAGGGTTACAGCTATGAGCTACAGGTTCTGGGGTCCAAAATACTCTTTGGATAGTATATATAATGACAACTCAGCCAGGTGTTATAATATCCATTTTGCTTTAATCCTCATAACTCCATTAAGTATAACTTTGCTTCCCTCATTGAGGGAAGTCAAGAAATTAAAGGAACTGGTGCAAGTTGGGTAGCAGTAGCTCACACTTATAATCCTTGCTATTTGTACTTCTAGCTGAGATCTAGAGGATGGCAGTTCAAAGCCAGCACCAACAGAAAAATTTGATAAAGTCCATCTTCAAAATAATCATCAAGAAGAAAAACTGAGCTGTAGGCATGACTCAAATGGTACAGAGCCAGTCCTGCATGCAAGAGTTCTCAAGTTCAAACCTCAGTACCAGAGAATGGTGTCTTAATTTTCATATTGCATTATGGTTTAAAAAAAAAAAAATCTTTGCCCAGGATTTTCCTAGTTTAAAGTCCCCTGTCTCATTTAGTCTCACAAAGGAACAGATTATAGTAAGTTGTTTTTTTTTTTAAATGTTAGGGATAAGGTTAAATTGGGATACACCATATAGGTGTATGAAATGTCATAATGAAATTCTTGTTCTGTTAATGTATATTGATAAAGATAGTGAAAAAGATAATAGGTGATGTTATATTATGTATCTCAAACTACGCAAATGATTAATAACCAGTAGCTGTTTAGTTCTCTATCTCCCTAAGACTTACTTTGAAGTGTTATGGAAAAATATTATTTTAATATGAAATGTATCTGAAGCTGAGTGCCAGTGGCTCACACTTGTAATCCTAGCTACTCAGGAGGCTGAGATCTGAGGATCACGGTCCAAAGCCATCCCAGGCAGGAAAGTTGGGAGACTCTTATTTCCAATTAACCCCCAGAAAACTGGAAGTGGTGTTGTGGCTCAAGTGGTGGAGCACTAGTGGACAGCACCCAGGCCCAGAGTTCAAGACCCATGACCAGCAAAAAAATAAATAAAAATAAAATGTATCTAAGACACTACCTTATTCTGCTCTATATTATCAGCACAATGCCTTGCTACTAAATTTAATATTTAATTACCCATTAATAGAAAAGAAATAATTGGAATCACTCTAGTACATTTCCTAATAAACCCTAGACAAGCACTTCATGTGAAAAAACATTATAGGCAGGCACTGGTGGCTGAGGCTTGTAATCCTAGCTATTGAAGAAGCTGGGATCTGAAGATCACAGTTCAAAGCCAGCAAGGACACAAAAGTCCAGAGTGTTATGTTCAATTAACCCAGAAGCCGAGCACGAGTCTTGCGTGTAAAAGCCAATTGAGAGCATGAGGGGCCAAGTTCAAGCTCCAGTATCAGCACATTAAGAAAAAAAAAAAAAACACATTACAATGTGACTCCTACTCCATAATTAACTTCCAGAAGTTAAGTCTGATTTTTCTCAAACATCTTTTCTAGGACCTCCCAAATGCTAGGGTAGTGTTCTATCTTGGCTACATCTCAGGCCTTCATATACTCCACAAAACATGGTTGAAATTTATGATCCTATTAAAAAATAACCTCTTTGCTCAAGCAAATTTTGCTTAAAAAAACTACTAACTAGGAAGTGGCACTGTGGCTCAAGTGGTAGAGTGCTTGCCTTGAGCTGAAGAGCGCAGGGACAGCGCCCAGGCCCAGAGTTCAAGCCCCATGACCACCAAAAAAAGAAAACTACTAGCTAGCAAGAACACAACCCCTTTTTTTTTTTTTTTTGGTACTTATTACACTAAAAAGGTATAGAGCAATTCTAAAAACGAAGGGTTGAGAAACCAGCAGAAATATTAAAGATATATCTGAAATGGCAAAATGGCAGGCAAAAACCTAACTTCTGGCTTTTAAGATTTTAGTATCAGGCAACTGACTTTTAGAGGAATCCAAATACAAAAAAAAAAAAAAATCTGGAGGTGTCAAGTGATAATAAAGTATAAATCCTTACCTCTTTTTCTGGTTTTAAAACGCTGGCCTGATAGCGTTGGCTTTTGCTGCTTTTGATTATTCATAAAAGACACCCTAGGAAAAGAGAAATATTGCCTTAAAAGTACCTGTGTCATACCATAAAACACTGTTTTTAGTCTCCAATTTTAGTCTCGTTACAGCTAAGTTAAATGGAGCCTAATTTCAGTTCGGCAATATACCTGCTACAGGCAAGTCTCTCCAAGAAACCCTTTAAGGAAGTGCTGGAAAGCACACCTTGAGCTGACTTTACAGTTGTCACAGTGACTGCTGGCAAAACACCCATCACAAACATAATTGTTTGGTCTCTTTTACATTTCTCTTTAAATTCACCGACATCTTCCACGACTTTCAAGCAGCACAGAACGCTAGATTACCACTTCATAACCGGGAGATATCCCGAGCGAGAATGTCAATCCCAAAGACACTTGCGTGCTAAAAAGGAGGAATCCCTTCTCAACAAACAAACAAACCAACCAACCCAGAACACCCGCCCACCCTATCCCCGAAGCCGCGCGTGTAACCGCAGCGGCCGCCCGCACCATTCCAGCCTGCAAAACTGAACGCCGATGGAGCCTCCGCGGCTTGGAACGCTCCGGTCCACGCACGTGTCTCCCCTTCCACACCCTTCCCGAGCCCCCAGCGGGAGCGGCAGCTCCGCCGCCCCCGGCCTCGGACCTCCTCCCCCTGGGCGCAGCCGGGCGCCGAGAAAGGTGCCGGGGGCCCTCCTTCCACTGACCCTGTCGCCTGCGGTGTCGGCCGCCGCAAGGAGCGGACCACAGGCGCCGAGGCGCTCCGCGCCGGGGCCCCCGCCGCCCCGTACATCCGCCCGCCCTCCAGCGAAAGCAGCGGCGGAGGAGGCGGCCGCAGCGGTGGTGGCGGCTCCCCCGCCCCGCCCGCCGGAACCCCCACGCGTACATCACCCAACAGAGGCCTCCGTGGCTTTGTTACCCAGGCCGGGCAAGGCTGGGCAGGGCAGGGCCGGGCCGCGCCGGGCGCAGAGCGGGCCCCATCTCGGCCGCCGCCTGGCCCGCGACGCGGCTGCGAGCACTCCGGGTGCCCCGGCCCACCCGATCCGCAGGCTGTCGGCCTGCCGGGCCCAATCCAGGCCCCGGATCCGCCCGGCCTCCTGCGGCGGCCTCGGCTGGGTCCCCTCCAAGCGGCGCCGCACCAGGCCCCAGCCTCCCGCCTGCGGCCGTGCGCCGCGACCTCGGCCGGGGGCCCGCGGGGGCGCCACTTCTCACCGAATTTAAGGCGAAGAGAAAAGAGCCAGAAATCCCCGAGGTGGCGGCAAGTGCGGCGGTGTCTCCTCTGCGACCGGAACTAACGCGAAGAGGAAGAGGAGGAGGAGGAGGAGGAGGAGGTGGAGGAGGAGGAGAAGGGAGGAGGGAGGAGAGAGGAGGCGCCGCCTCCGCCCGGCCACTCTGCTATCGCGAGACTTCCCTCTCCCGGTTTGCACCACCCCGCCCGGATCGCGGCTCGCAGCCGCTGCCTGGCGTGGGAACGGGGAGGAAGGACGGAAGTCGGGGGTCTCTGTCCTCCGTTAGACCTCAGCCTGCCCGGACATCTGTCCTAGAGTCCCCTCCACCCCGCGGCCTGCGGCCTCCTGGCCTCCGAGGGGTAGGGGGGAGTGGGGTCGGCCCCGCCAGGCCCGAAGGTGGGCACGTTCCCCCCCCCCCCCCGCTGGCCACCTCCCCCGATCCCCCCCCCCCCCTCGGGTCGAAAGTCCGGGCTCGGAGGGGCGCTCGGCCCGGCGCGGGCGGGGGCTGGGGCGGGTCCCGCGGCCGGGCCTGGTAAAGGAAGCCACACCTGGCCTCCATCCGGTCCGGGTTCTAAGAACTGGCTCGGGCCGGGCCGCGGGGTGGGGTGCGCGGCCCCCCCCCTTCCGAGCCCGGCGCAGGCCCGGGGCTCCGCCGGGAAGCTCTCATCCCTGCTAGCGCCGGGCATTGAAGCAAGTGAGGGCCTTGGCCTGGCGGGTTCGGGGAGGGGACACCCCCAGTTATTGATGAGGGGCCTAGGAATGCGCCTGGGCTGGGAAGGTGGCTCAGTGGTAGAGTGCTTGCCTTGCATGCACGAGGCCCTGGGTTCGATTCCTCAGCACCACATAAACAGAAAAGGCCGGACGTGGCGCTGTGGCTCAAGTGGTAGAGCACTAGCCTTGAGCTGAAGAGCTGAGAGACAGTGCCCAGGCCCCACGGGCCCCCCACCCAAAAAAAGAACAAAACACTAAAAATAACCTATTAAGTGATTTGTTGTTGAGGAGACAGGGTCTCACTACATAGTTCAGGATGACTTGCAACTGCCTAGAACTGGGATTACAGGAACTTGTTCACTAAGCCTGCCTTGGACTTCTTTTTTGTTACTGCCTTCTCCCCCAACTCCACTCATGGAATGTTATGCTTTCTCAGCTTTTTTTTTTTTTTTTACATTAATTTTAGCTGGATTGCCAAATCTAGTCCTTCTCAGTCCACCCTCCTTGTTGTCTCTTAGCTTTTAGCTTGTTAACCCAACTGAAAACTTTCCTCCAGCTAGTTACTCTTAATAATTTGTAACTTTGCTGACTCTTTTCCTATACTTACACCTCTTCTTTCTTCACACTCTCCCATGACTGTCTTATGATCTGAAGGTTTAATATTTGCTTCTTTTAAAGGAGATCCAAATTCACTTACTGAGTCATTAAACCAATATTTGTAGTGTCTACACTCAGTGCCCTTCCAAACAGCGAGAAGAGCAGTGGGAAGGGCTTTGGGCAGGAAAGAAATTGCTATGGTGGAAGTACTACTTGTGAGGCCAGTATTGTGAAGTAGGAGAGCTGCGGGGAAGGGAGTCAGTTCTTAGGTTTTTTCCTACCTAGCAGTTCATTTGTAACACTCTCAGTGCTATGGATTAGTCTTTTCCCTGAACTAGTTTTATTAAAGTGTCGTTATATTAAAGGGTCAATGCTTCACTATATTTCACATATATATCAAGCATTTTATATGTTAACCTCATATAATACTCAAAACTACCCTAAAGTCTAGATACTATTTTATCTCTGGGAAAACAAGGCATCTTGCCCAGGTTCAGAAGAACTCCCTTTGAAGCAATAATACCCTACCAAGTCACCAATGTGGGAAAAAGCAATCTTTTCTGTTAAACTAAAATGTCTCCATCTTACAGATACTTCCTGGAATTATTAGCTTCCTGACTTCAATTGTAACTATCATCTGTGTTGTTTGTAACCATCCAGCCATGTCCAGGGTATAAATCCTTACCAATGGAGTTAAAAGAATAGACCACTCTCCTCCCCCACCCCCCCCCCACATAAACACACCTTGAGTGGGAACTTTCCATTGACTTTCATCCAACTGTAACCTTCAATAGCCCTATTCTCAGTCCCATTCCCAGCTAGCCATCCTGAGAAGAATGTGTGCTTTTGCCTCTAAAAAGACAGCTCCTCCTCCCCAAATAGGGACCTTTCACTGACAGAGTGCTTTCTGACCCCATCACCTGGTATCCAATTGTTAGAAAAAAAAAAAAAAAAAAGTGAGCCCAACTAACAACAAGGAGAAGGGACAAAGCCACCTCTTGGGTTAGTATAAAAATCACGCAGACCACTCTGCCCCAGTGAGTGTGCTTGCTGAACTCTGAGGAGAGTGGCAGACCAACCACCCTTCTGTACAGAAGTTAGATGCCTTGAGGAAATCCGTATCTTCTGTGTATGTATTCATTTTCTGACACTGGAGGGTTGTGGGTTTCCAATATCCAGAGCATTTCTTTCTTTCTTTCTTTACTTTTTCTTTCTTCCTTTTTTTTTTTTGGTCATGGGGCTTGCACACTGTCCCTCAGCTCTTCAGCTCAAGAATAGCACTATACCATTTGGGCCACTGTGCCACTTTCTGTTTTCTGAGTGGTTTATTGAAGATAAGAGTCTCGTGGACTTTGCTGCTGGGCTGGCTTTGAACCGTGACCCTCAGATCTCAGCCTCGTGAGTAGCTAGGATTACAGGCATGAGCCACTGGTGCCCTGTTTCCAGATCATTTCTTATTATTTGTTCAACAAGTGTTTATTGAGACCACTGAAAGACCACTAGAATACTCAGAAGTGACAAGTCAGGCTTGGGCCCTCACAGATCTTATCTTTTATATTTGTCATAGTTTTCAAGTTTTATCTTTTTCTAATGCATTTTGATTTAAGTTTCTTTCATTGTCTTTTGTTTTTCTGAGACACGGTCTCAGAAAATTACGTAGCTACATAAATTTGGTGTATTGGCCCAGGCTGGCCTCCAAACCTTCATAACTTTGGTATGTAGCTTAGGCTTAAAATCTTCATAAATTTGGTATGTAGCCCAGGCTACATAAATTTGGTATGTGGAGTGGGTTGGCCCCAAAACCTTCATAAATTTGCTAGATAGCCTAGGCTCAAAACATGCATAAATTTGTTATATAGCCCAAGCTACATAAATTTGGTATATGGCCCCAGCTGGCTTCAAAACCTTCATCCTCTCCTCCAACTTCCTTGGTGCTGGGATTACAGTCGTAAGCACCAGGCCTGGTCTATTTTTGAAATATTTTATTGAACCAATGAATCCATCTAGGTCTAGGCTTTTCTTTGTGGGAAAGTTTTTAATTTATTTCATCTAAAATGTTTAATTACTATAAAGCTCATAACTTCAATGTTTTCATTTATTTAAGATGAGTAGGATGGACCTAGAATAAATCATGTTGAGGTAAGCCAAGCTCAGAGAAACAAATGTCTAAGCTAAGCTCAGAGAGACAAACAGTGCATGTTTTCTCTCATATGTGGAAGCTAGATCTGAAATAACACCAGAAAATGAGAAATTATACAAGACTTTAGGCATTCACACACAGTGAGACCAAAGGAGGATACTCTTAGGGGAGGAACAAATGGAACAATATTGGGTTGGGGATTTAGCTCATGCCTGGCATGTACAAGTTTCTGAGTTCAGTCCTCTATATATATTAAACAGGTACAATCTGATCACATAAAACAGTATTTATTGAAAACGAATTCCAGGAAATGGAAACAAGTTCCCTCCCCCTTTTTTTCTTGGTTGGTGGGTCATGTGGCTTGAACCCAGGGTCTAGGCATTGTCCCTGAGCTTTTTTGCTTAAGGCTAGCACTCTACCACTTTGAGCCACAGCTCCACTTGTGATTTTCTGGTAGTTAATTGAAGATAAGAGTCTTACAGATTTACCTGCCCAGGTTGGCTTTAAATCAGGATCCTCTGATCTCAGCCTCCTGAGTAACTAGAATTATAGGCACGAGCCACCACCTCCAGGCTTGTTTTCTTTTCTTTGTTTTGTTTGTTCATTTATTTGTCTTCAGAAGGGTAAGGGGGGCACAGAAATGGAGGGACAAAGGGTTAACAAATGGCAAGAGTAATACTAACCACTATGTTGAAAATGAACTATACAACTTGTGGGTGGTGATGTGGGGAAAAAGGGGAGAGAGCTAGGGAAGGAATGACATTGTCCAAAAAGAAATGTACTCATAGCCGGGTGCCGGTGGCTCACTAGCTAGTCAGGAGGCTGAGAACTGAGGATCGAGGTTCAAAGCCAGCCCAGGCAGGAAAGTACGTGAGATTCTTCAATAAACCACTCAGAAAACCGGAAGTGGCACTGTGGCTCAGGTGGTAGAGCGCTCCCCTTGAGTTGAAGAGCTGAGGGACAGCGCTCAAGCCCAGAGTTCAAGACCCACGACTGACCAAAAAAAAAAAAATTACACTCAAACAAAAATGAGTAGTAATTTCTTTCATTTCTACCTTTGGGGCTTTGGTCATTTATGTCTTTCTTATTCTTAGCCAGTCAAGCTAGAGGTTTATCCATTTTATTTGTATTTTCAAAGAAATGATACCTTTGCCAAGGTTCCATTATCACTGGCACTCTTACAAGTGAATCACTTCTACTTCTGGCTTTTTGCTGGTTAATTGGAGATAAGATTTTCAAGAATGTCTCAGCTTCCTTAGCAGTGAGGATTATAGGAATGAGCTACCAGCACTCACTCATTATTTTTTTTCTATGTTTATACCGTTGAGTTTTTACTGTCATCTTTGTTGCTTCCTTCTAGATAAGAATGCCACAGACCCTTTGTTCTAACTGTAAGATTGGCAGTTTTCCATTAAAAAATACTTATCAGTTTTTGGTTTGCCTTAGTCTGTTTCCAGAGTTTTGAAATAGTGGTTTGGGACATTTTGTCTAGTTCTTTAGTAGTCTTCGAGAGAGAATCTTCTAACTTCTCCCTCCGCAATTAATGCAACTGTACCTGTAGTATCTGATGCAAAATACCTTATGCAAAGTACCTATAGTACTTTGGGATTAAAATTCTCGAACTATTTAAATGAA